TTTTCATTTTGGACCACCTGTAATTTTAATATTTGAGTGGTGCTCATAGTACGAAGAGGTACTTCTGGGTAAGTTAATATCGATATGATAAATTATGTCACCAGGCGGAGTTTTATTTTCTCAGGAAGCGCTTTAAAGCGGTATAGTTTTCTCAGCTCTCTTCTTGCCTTTTCCTTCATGGTGTGGACATGATGGGAGTAACCTGTCGTGGATATATGCAGGCCCAGGAGGGTGCCTCTTCTTTTGTATTCTAGCTGGGCATTATTGGTTACTAATGGATGGGTTTTCCTTCTGTATAAGGGTATCACTGTGAATTTCGGGAGACTGGTTTGGATTTTCCATTGTTTTTCGTAATTATTTACCCTTTCTAATTCCCGCCTGGTGTTGTCGACCTGTAACGCTCGCGATTTTCCTTGATGTGTTGTTATTTGAGTCGCTTCTGCCCCGGGAAACTGGGGGAGGGGAGGGGAGGGGCAGACATTAAGGAGCATTATGGGAGAGGAAACGGAAGAGGTGAGAGGAGTAAAGGAAAACATGGTTATACTGTAGACTGGGGAGGGAAAATGGGATAAGAGACGAGAGACCAGAAAGGAAGGAGGAGATACAGATAAAGGAATAACAGACACTAACAAAGAATGACAGAGAAAGAATATAAAAATAGAGGTAAAAGTGGTCCTCCTTATGTAAAGTGGAGCCTACACACACACCCATAGTGATGTCTCTCTCTCTCTCTCTCCTCTCTCTCTCTCTCTCTCTCTCTCTCTCTCTCTCTCTCTCTCTCTCTCTCTCTCCACATGACCTTGATATACTGTAGTGTAGGGGTGCAGTGAGGAGCCCGTGGTAAGAGCAGGTCAGGTGTACGAGGGTGAAAAATTCTCTCGGTCAGTCAGTCAGTCAATCAGTCTCTCAGTCAGTCAGTCTCTCAGTCAGTCAGTCAGTCAGTCAGTCGTTGAGTGTGACAAGGCGTTGATTGTACTTAATTAAGGTATTTTCATGGAGGTGTTATCTCTGGGCAGGTGTTAATGGGAAGGTGATTAATAAAGCAGGTGTTGAGGGGCGGACAGGTGTTGAGGGTGGGCAGGTGTTGAGGGCGAACAGGTGTTGAGGACGGACAGGTGTTGAGGACGGGCAGGTGTTGAGGGGGACAGGTGTTGAGGGGCGAACAGGTGTTGGTTCCCACGCCCTGCCAAATATGCTCAGCTGATCAGTATCAAGATATCGTCGACAGGAAGGAGTTGGATACACCCATTCACACCCTCACGCCCACCCACCTCAACCACCCACCCACCCACAATCATCCACCCACCCACCCACCCTAGGTAAACCACAGTAGCCACCAGCACCTTCACCTATTATGCTTTTAATGGTGTTGATGAGCCTGACTCACCTGTTGAGGCGGGGGTCATCGGGGTGGGCTGTGACGTCACCACCTCAAAGATATAAACATTGAGAGCTGAGCGCGCTAAGTCTCGCGGGCCAAAATTTACTCAGTGTGTGTGTGTGTGTGTGTGTGTGTGTGTGTGTGTGTACATTAATAGACGGGTACATAAGTAGATAAATGGATAGATAAATATACAAAGAAATATATAACACACACACACACACACACCAACACACATAGATAGATAGAGGGGTAAATATAGATTATGTAAAATAGATAAATCAATATTAAAAAAAATATATGGAGATTAAAGGACCAGAGTCGTAGATAGAGAGAGAGAGAGAGAGAGAGAGAGAGAGAGAGAGAGAGAGAGTTCAATGCGTAAAGATCATTGATTAAGTTTGGTAGTGTGTGATAGTGGTAGGTGTTGTGGTAGTGTGTGATATGGTTGGTGTTGTGGTAGTGTGTGATAGTGGTTGGTGTTGTGGTAGTGTGTGTGATAGTGGGTAGTGGTAGTGTGTGATAGTGGAGTGTGATAGTGGTTGGTGTTGTGGTGAGTGTGTGATAGTGGTTGGTGTTGTGGTGAGTGTGATAGTGGTTGGTGTTGTGGTAGTGTGTGATAGTGGTTGGGTGTTGTGGTAGTGTGTGATAGTGGTGGTGTTGTGGTAGTGTGTGATAGTGGTAGGTGTGTGTGGTAGTGTGTGATAGTGGTTGGTGTTGTGGTAGTGTGTGATAGTGGTTGGTGTTGTGGTAGTGTGTGAGTGGTTGGTGTTGTGTAGTGTGTAGTGGTTGGTGTTGTGGTGGTGTGTGATAGTGGTTGGTGTTGTGGTAGTGTGTGATAGTGGTTGGTGTTGTGGTAGTGTGTGATAGTGGTAGGTGTGTGGAGTGTGTGATAGTGGTTGGTGTTGTGGTAGTGTGTGAAGTGGTAGGTGTTGTGGTAGTGTGTGATAGTGGTTGGTGTTGGTGGTGTGTGATGAGTGGTTGGTGTTGTGGTAGTGTGTGATAGTGGTTGGTGTTGTGGTAGTGTGTGATAGTGGTAGGTGTTGTGGTAGTGTGTGTGGTGGTTGGTGTTGTGGTAGTGTGTGATAGTGGTTGGTGTTGTGGTAGTGTGTGATAGTGGTTGGTGTTGTGGTAGTGTGTGATAGTGGTTGGTGTTGTGGTAGTGTGTGATAGTGGTTGGTGTTGTGGTAGTGTGTGATAGTGGTTGGTGTTGTGGTAGGTGTGATAGTGGTTGGTGTTGTGGTAGTGTGTGAAATGGTGGTTGGTGTTGTGGTAGTGTGTAATAGTGGTAGGTGTTTTGGTGTGTGATAATGGTTGGTGTGTTGTGGTAGTGTGTGATAGTGGTAGGTGTTGTGGTGTGTGATAATTGGTTGTGGTGTGTTGTGTGGTAGTGTGTAATAGTGGTTGGTGTTGGTGAGTGTGTGATAGTGGTGGTAGGTGTTGTGGTAGTGTGTGATAGTGGTTGGTGTTGTGGTGGTGTGTGATAGTGGTTGGTGTTGTGGTGTGTGTGATAGTGGTAGGTGTTGTGGTAGTGTGTGATAGTGGTTGGTGTTGTGTGTGTGTGATAGTGGTTGGTGTGGTAGTGTGTGTGATAGTGGTTGGTGTTGTGGTAGTGTGTATAGTAGTAGGTGTTGTGGTAGTGTGTGATAGTGGTAGGTGTTGTGGTAGTGTGTGATAGTGGTAGGTGTTGTGGTGAGGTGTGTGATAGTGGTTGGTGTTGTGGTAGTGTGTGATAGTGGTTGGTGTTGTGGTGGTGTGTAATAGTAGGTGTGGTAGTGTGTGATAGTGGTGTGTGGTAGTGTGTGTGTGTGGTGTTGTGTGTGTGTGATGTGGTTGGTGTTGTGGTGTGTGATGGTGGTAGGTGTTGTGGTAGTGTGTAATAGTGGTTGGTGTTGTGGTGGTGTGTGATAGTGGTAGGTGTTGTGGTAGTGTTGATGGTGGTAGGTGTTGTGGTGTGTGTGATAGTGTAGGTGTTGTGGTGAGTGTGTGTGATAGTGGTAGGTGTTGTGGTAGTGTGTAATAGTGGTAGGTGTTGTGGTAGTGTGTGATAGTGGTAGGTGTTGTGGTAGTGTGTGATAGTGGTAGGTGTTGTGGTAGTGTGTGCCTGTTGTGTCTGTTCGTCTCTGTTTTTCACTGTAACTCGGTACAATAACACGATACAAGCATGAGTGTTGCCATCTCGCAGTCTCGCAATTAAAAGTCTTCAGATGAGAAGGTCAAAGGTCAGTGTTACAGGGTCAACTCATTTATCTGGTATTGGTTAGGTCAGACACATCATCACACTCACTAAAGGTTTGTCCTTTAATACTGTCAATACTTATGTGTGACCCCGCCCCGCCCCCACGCCTCCCCAAATGGCCTATCCTACTACAGGCTGATCCTCAGCCGTCTCAACACCCCTTCATCTTGTCGGTATATGTAACTTGCCGATGAAATCCATGGCCTTGAGGCACCTCTCCCTTAAATACATGAGTCGACTAGGCAAGCATGAGCTCTGTATGCTTCCCTGTTGGGCGCTGTAAATGCTTTTTGCGCTTTGCTTACAGGATGCAAGGGGGTGCCCAATTTACTAGCGTGCTCATGGGACAAATTGTAAGAAATTAAAGAATTTGTTTGGTTAGATCAGCTCGTTAACATGGGACAGTTTAGGGGGAGTTATGACCGTATTCTTAATATGTTTTTTATGCATATTGAATTGTGCCTTTGATCTCGTGAGTCGTATGTATGGCAATAATATCTTATGTGCTGTGTGTGTGTGTGTGTGTGTGTGTGTGTGTGTGTGTGTGTGTGTGTGTGTGTGTGTGTGTGTGTGTGTGTGTGTGCGCGCTGAGTCACTGGCAGGGGTAATACGGTTCCCCGGCTGGACGGTCGCTCCCTCACGTCCAGGTAGAGGCGGTGTTGGGATTCGGGGGCTCGCCAGTGGACACATGCACCGCCAGGTATGCTAACGTCACACTGGGGCTGGGGGATGGCGGCCAACCAAGACCAGGATGGCATACCTGCATCATTAATTAACTTGTAAAGGTGAAGTGGGAACTGCCAAAGAGACTTACAAGGACTTGAGAATTAGATTAGGGAGGGAGGAGAAGAGGGACAGGTGTAGATGTTACCTGTGTTTGGGCTGGCAGGAACTTCTGAGATATCTTGACGTAAGTGTTGGTTAGGTTTGGAGAGCGACTGTCTGGTCACCTTTACCTGGAGGGTGTGTGGTAGCAGGTGTTTATCTCGTTTGTCTTTCTGTTCCCTCAAAGTTTTAGAAAGTTTAGTCGGAGGAGGTGATGGTGGGGGGTGAAAGAGAGGCGACTGAGGGGAGGGTTTTGGAGTGGCTGAGAGAGGTATAAGGGGCTGAGGAGAGTGAGGGGAGGTGTAAAGGGGGGAGGGAGGGGCTGAGTGAGAGTGAATGGAGGTGGAGAACAGGAATTGAGTTAGACTGGGGGGGAGGGTTTAGGAGTGAGACAGTGTGAGTTAGGAGCGTTAAGGGGGAGGAACTGAGTGAGAAGGGGGAGGGGTCGCCTGGAGAAGAGGAGGGCGGGGAACACGCCTGGCTGGGTACCGTCTTTATTGGACAGACGTCACAGGACCCGACCAAGCATGAGGAAGAACTCCTTTATGCCATTGCCTTTTGGTTCCTGCCGAAGACATGGTACCATTGCCCTTTGGTTCCTGCCGAAGATATGGTGCCATTGCCTTTTGGTTCCTGCCGAAGACATGGTGACATTGCCTTTTGGTTCCTGCCGAAGACATGGTACCATTGCCCTTTGGTTCCTGCCAAGACATGGTGCCATTGCCTTGGTTCCAGCCGAAGACATGGTACCATTGCCTTTTGGTTCCTGCCGAAGACATGGTACCATTGCCTTTTGGTTCCTGCCGACGACATGGTACCATTGCCTTTCATTCTTACAAAAGACTTGGGTCTATTGACTTTTGTTGATATGAAGGCCATTGGCTTTTGTTATCTGGTGAAAAACGGGAACCTTGCCTCGCTCCCCCGGAGAAGGAACACAGCGAGGGGGCTGTTTGATGCCACTCACCAGACTCTTGTTATTATCAGCGTGTTAGAGGCGAGTCTGTGTACTCTCAAGACTTCAAAGTTCTTAATTAACATATTGACCTTTATGGAGACTCTTCCCTCATTCCCCTTCTACCCTCCCTCCCTCCACCTTCTTTGGAGCCGAAGTCTGCCTAGCCGGTCGATATATCCGGCCGACCGAAGGAGAAGGAAAGTGTGGGGAGGGGGAGGGGGGTAGGTCCTCCTTGGCTGGCTGGCCCGGCCGGCTTTTGTTCGGCTCTTAAGTCCTCCCATGCCGACGATGTCTCTGGTTACCATTGTATCCTTCCTTCTCTTCCTCCTCCTCCACTATATTGGTATATCTTCTACTGTTCTTCCATCTCTTTGTCCTCCTCCTAATAAATATTTTCCTCGCTTGTCACCTTCTTTCTTCTCTTCCATCTTCTTTCTCTCTCTTCTCTTCTTCCCCTCCTCCCTCCTCCTCCCTCCTCCTCACACGTCCTACGCCTCACCGCCTCCTCGTACTGATACCTGTATATTTAATACGTCCCAGGATGAGGCTTGTGTGTGTGTGTGTGTGTGTGTGTGTGTATGTGTGTGTGTGTGTGTGTGTGTGTGTGTGTGTGTGTGTGTGTGTGTGTGTGTTAAAGTTTCGTTTTGCATTATTGGTTTGGTTAGATTAGGTTTTTATTCCCTTATAATGGCGATAATATTCATAGACATAATAATAATAATAATATTAATATTAATAATAATAATAATAATAATAATAATAATAATAATAATAATAATAATATCTAAATTAATAAAATAATTCTGCCTCCTGTAAATAGCACTCCGATGGTTACTTTACCCATTTAATCACTCATCCTTTGACCCTTTCACCCCCCACACACACACACACGACTCCTCCCTCCTCATAGACACAACCTCTTCTCTCCCCTAACACACACACACACACACACACACACACACACACACACTGCAGCCATGTAGGTAGCGACAAATACGAGACTGATGTATTACGGGCAAAATAAAACTGGCCAATTATTTTTGCAACACTATAAAATGTAATATGTTAAACAGTTAAACAGAGTGGTCCTCTCCCAGGGTAAAGAGTGGTCCTCCCCAGGGTAAAGAGTGGTCCTCCCCAGGTAAAAAGTGGTCCTCCCCCAGGTAAAGAGTGGTCCTCCCCCAGGTAAAAGTGGTCCTCCCCAGGGTAAAGAGTGGTCCTCCCCAGGGTAAAGAGTGGTCCTCCCCAGTAAAGAGTGGTCCTCCCCAGGGTAAAGAGTGGTCCTCCCAGGGTAAAGAGTGGTCCTCCCCCAGGTAAAGAGTGGTCCTCCCCAGGTAAAAGTGGTCCCCCAGGGTAAAGAGTGGTCCTTCCCAGGTAAAGAGTGGTCCTCCCAGGGTAAAAGGGTGGTCCTCCCTGGGGAAAGGGTGGTCCTCCCTAAGGTAAAGCGTAGGCCTTCCCCAAGGTAAAAGAGTGGTCCTCCCCGGGGCAAAGAGTGGTCCTTCCCCAGGGTAAATAGTGGTCCTCCCCAGGGTAGAGTGGTCCTCCCCAGGTAGAGAGTGGTCCTCCCCAGGGTAAAGAGGGTCCTCCCCAGGGTAGAGAGTGGTCCTCCCCAGGGTAGAGAGTGGTCCTCCCCAGGGTAAAGAGAGGGTCCTCCCCAGGGTAAAGAGTGGTCCTCCCCAGGGTAAAGAGTGGTCCTCCCCAGGGTAAAGAGTGGTCCTCCCCCAGGTTAAAGAGTGGTCCTCCCCAGGTAAAGAGTGGTCCTCCCAGGGTAAAGGATGGTACTCCCTTAGGTAAAGCGTAGGCCTTCCCCAGGTAAAGAGTGGTCCTCCCCCAGGGTAAAGAGTGGTCCTCCCCAGGGTAAAGAGTGGTCCTCCCCCGGGGTAAAGAGTGGTCCTTCCCAGGGTAAAGAGGCCTCCCCCAGGGTAAAGGGTGGTCCTCCCCTGGGGTAAAGGGTGGTCCTCCCTAAGGGTAAAGCGTAGGCCTTCCCCAAGTAAAGAGTGGTCCTCCCCGGGGCAAAGAGTGGTCCTTCCCCAGGGTAAATAGTGGTCCTCCCCAGGGTAAAGAGTGGTTCTCCCCAGGGTAAAGGGTGGTCCTCCCCTGGGGTAAAGGGTGGTCCTCCCCCGGATAATATATCCATCCTTCTCCCTCACCACTTTTGTGAATTAAAATAATGAGTGCACTTTATCTGCCCTTGTGAATTGTTGTTGTGATGGTGGTGGTTGTTGTGGTAGTGGTTGTAGAGATCGTGGTGATGCTTGTGGTTGTTGTCGAGGTGGTGGTGGCAGTGGTGATGGTGGTGATGGTGGTGTTTGTGATGGTGCTTGTAGGGTGGTGGTGGTGGTGGTTGTTGCGATATTACATATTATTATTATATATTATTATTATTATTATTATTATTATTATTATTATTATTATTATTTTGTTCTTCTTGTTGTTGGTAGAAATATATATTTTTGTCAGTTGTTAAATACGGTGAATGATGTCCGTAGAATTATTCCCATCAATCATCATCTTCGTTCCTTAGGTGATAATTACCCTGTATAATTACGTGATAATTATCCCCATCTTACTGTAATTATCACCAACTATAAACAAAAACTTGGATAATTGCTTGACGGTCAGTCGTTCGTTTTTATGTTACCTTGAAAATAACTAATGAGATCACCTGAAACTTAGACACCCCAGTTTATTTCACCTGATGCTTAACCTAACCTTACCTAACCTTACCTTACCTTACCTTACCTTACCTACCTTACCTTACCTTACCTTACCTTAGCACTTACCTTACCTACCTACCTAACCTAACCTAACCTAACCTTACCTTACCTTACCTACCTTACCTTATCTAACCTAACCTAACCTACCTAACCTAACCTAACCTCACCTAACCTAACCTAACATAACTCACCTCACCACACCTCACCTCACCTAACCTAACCTAACATAACCTCACCTCACCTAACCTAACCTAACCTCACCTCACCTAACCTATCCTAACCTTACTCACCTAACCCTCCCATCCAGGTAGTCATATAGTGATTAACCTCCAGGTGAAATAATCTGAGTTCTCTAATCTTCAGGTGAACCAATGAACGGATAGATCGATACAGGAGAAGTAGAATAGACAGTTGACTAAATGGTTAAGAAAATATGACAAGTACAAAGGATAATTGAGATTGATTGATAAATATGTAAATGAATGGATAGTGGTGTGAGTTAATGTAAATAAATTGATAAATGAATAATGTAAATTAAGATGTAAATTGGTAAATGCATATGTAAATAACTAATGAATATATATATGGAAATTAATATATGGATGACATACATGTTAACAAAAACAAATGGAAAATTGAATTAGCGAATTTTATGTCGAAGAGAAAAAAAAATTATAATTGAGGTGGAATATAATAATGATGTAATAAAATGATTTGTTATTGAATATTTTAAATAGGTAAAGAGAATGGTCAGAGTAGGGTGTGATGGTGGTTAGGCCGGAGAGGGTGATGGGGAAGGGGGTGATGGGGAGGGGGTGATGGGAGGGGGGTGATGGGGGAGGGAAGGGGTGATGATGGGACAGTTGATTGGGTATAAATATATTGGTGTTAGTAATTAGGTTAGTGTCACGCTGTGTACTTTGGGGGAGGGGGTAGTGGGGTTAAAAAGGAGGGGGTAGGAGGGGAAAGGGAAGAGGAGAGGGTAGGAGGTGTGGGGTAGGAGGAGGGAAGGGGAAGAGTTGGAGAAGGAATGAGATGGAAGAACAGCAGGAGGGGGAAACAGCAGAAGGGGACAACAAAACAGTAGGAGGGAAACAGCAAGAACAGCAGGAGGGGAACAGCAAAACAGCAGGAGGAAACAGCAAAACAGCAGAGGGGGAACAGCAAAAGAGCAGGAGGGGGACAAATACAGGAGAGGGCAAGAGCAGAGGAGGCAAACAGCAAGGAGGGGAACAGCAAAGAGCAGGAGGGGGACAGCAAAACTGCAGAGGGAACAAACAGCAGGAGGAACAGAAAAGAGCAGGAGGAGGAAACAGCAAAACAGCAGAGGGGAACAGCAAAGAGGGAGGAGGACACAAAAATGCAGAGAGAGGGAACAGCAAGAACAGCAGGAGGCAGCAAAACAGCAGGAGGGGAACAGCAAGAACAGCAAGTCAAGACGCATAGTTTCCTCCCTCACCACCTGGATGAGTTAGGTGTGTGTGTGTGTGTGTGTGTGTGTGTGTGTGTGTGTGTGTGTGTGTGTGTGTGTGGACGGGATGGGTGATGGAGGAAGAGGGAAGAGGCGGGGAGAGAAGACTAGGGAGAAGAGATTGAAGAGAAGAAGAAAGGGGTGGAAAGGGAGAGAGAAAAGGGGAGGTGAACTGTGCTGAGTGATGGGGGGGGTAAAGGGGGGAGGGGGAGGGAGGGGAGGATGTGTCTCCATCTCAACAGAGACAAATGGGAGAGATGCTGCAGTGGGCGCCCATTTGTTCTGAGTGGTGGTGGTGGTGGTGGTGGTGATTGTGGTGGTGGTGGTGGTGGTGGTGGTGGTGGTGGTGGTGGTGGTGAGGTGGTGGTGGTGGTGTGGTGGTGGTGGTGGTGGTGGTGGTGGTGGTGGTGGTGGTGGTGGTGGTGGTGGTGGTGGTGGTGGTGGTGGTGGTGGTGGTGGAGGTGGTGGTGTGGTGGTGGTGGAGGGTGGTGGTGGTGGTGGTGGTGGTGGTGGTGGTGGTGGTGGTGGTGGTGGTGGTGGTGGTGGTGGTGGTGGGGGGGGTGGGGTGGTGGTGGTGGTGAGGGTGGTGGTGTTGGTGGTGGTGGTGTGTGGTGAGGGTGGTGGTGGTGGTGGTGGTGGTGGTGGTGGTGGTGGTGTGGTGAGTGAGGTGGTGGT